GGGTTAATGTCTCCTTTCACAATGTCTATTCATTGATTAAAGAGAACTCATTAAAGCTGCCATGTATTTGTCTTGTTGCAGCCCCAGGTGTTCAATCTCTTAGTGTGAGTAGTAAGTCAATGTGGCTGTATAAGGCATCTATCTGAAGGTAACAATTATAAGGACATGTCTTTTTGCAGTTTAGTAGCCCATCCCCTCCAAAAAATAAACAAATAAAGGAATACAAATTATGTTTACATTCTTTGGGAATATTACTTGATTTGCTTTATTTACCAACTCTGTGTGCACAGACTTTGAAAACATCTTCTTCAAATATTTAAAAAAATAATTAATTAAATAAAGAAGATTGCCATGCCTCATTCCATTTGGGTTCAACTGTGGTTCATCAGCTATAAACTGGATAGATCACCGGCTGTAACAGACAACCTCTGGGAGGTGTGTGTGTGTGTGTGTGTGTGTGTGTGTGTGTGTGTGTGTGTGTGTGTGTGTGTGTGTGTGTGTGTGTGTGTTTGTGTGTGTGTGTGTGTCTTTCCTACACCCTCCACGTTTCTCTGTCTCCCCCCCACACTTGAAGATGTTGCATTGTCTGTGCCAGGAGCTCCGTGATTAACATTGTTGTGAGCCGCAGGAGTTGTTATGGAAGCCATCTTGCCTGTTTGCTCATTAATCTGTCTTTGTGTCTCTGTATCTGTGACCTGTGCATGCAGCTCGCCTTCTCACGTCACTGTATGGAAACATTTGCATGTGCGTACAAAGGTATATTCAGTTTCAGTCTCTTTCTCTGTTGTTATGGTGGCTGACATTATTATTATTTTTCCAAACCCATCACCTACCTGAACTAACAGGCGGGTATATTTCACAATAGGGGTTCATAAGGTTAATCTGCCTCTCCATGGTGACCGCCCATTTCCTTTACCTGCCATGTGTTTGCTAATTGCGGAGGCCTGTTGACCTTTAGTCACCTTTAATATCCTGGCCTTTTCCTGTCCAGCACCCCACAGTAGCCCAAAGAGCAGAATATGAAAGGCTTATTGTGTCAAGGCAATGTAAAACTTCATCACACAGTGCAACTTGAATGCAGCATTTCAGTTGCCTTGAAGCTCTATAAATCATCGCAACATACTCTGCAGAATGATAATACCATTAGATAGATTAGATGATATCTGTTCATCAGTCATTTTTTTTTCAAAATGAGATTTTAACTGATTCCTTGATGATTGATTGACTGTAGCGTTCTTTAATTCTTCATCAAAAATCCCTCTCTTCTAACCCACATGCTTCTTTTCTGCATCCAAACGCTATCTGCTTTAAACATCAGTTTTCTTCTCCTCTCCTCTTGCTTCAAAGATTTATGAACATCATTATGAGTCTCCTCCCCGACTGTGGAAAGTACATGAGACAAGTCTAAACTGCTCTATCATAGAGCTATTTGAAGGAAGAGAAAGAGGGGAAGGAGGGACAAAGTGTTCCCAGAGAGTACTCGCTGAATATTTACTTGGAGATTTGGAACTTTTAATGGAATGTATTTCAAAGGATAGCGGGTCCAAGTTGATTGTAAATGCAGCTGAAGAAAAACTTTTCTTTGAAAGTATTTTAAAAAGTGTCACAGACTGAAATTGGACTGAAGAGATGAGAAAGCTCTGAGCAAAATATCCTCTTTATAAAAGTGCGAATACAATCTTATCAATGTATGAGAAGAAACTCCAATTAGGAGACTTTGGTCCAACTTCTTGGACACCTTCTAATTTGAAAGAAATAGAAGGGCACTATTTTTGATGAGTGATTTCATATTGAAAATGGAAAATCAAATAATGATGTATTGGCTGAAAGAAATATTTAAACTTTAAATACAGTGAAGGATTACATTTTAAGGATTGCCAGAAGAAGGTAAGAAAATAATCCAGCAGCAGAGTCACCCCCCTGGGCTGCTGCTCTGTTCTGTGCTGCCATTCTCTCAGGCGGATGCCACTCGGACTGAAAACATAACGAATGACTGGTTTTGCAAAACAAGCCACCAAGTTTTTCCTTGGTGTTGAGGCATCGTTGTCATCTGTCAAATAAAAATATTTCGCCTCCAAAATGTTTGGCTGTAGGGTCTCGCAAACATCTGAAATTCACACCGCACTTCAACGGCTCCAGATTTGCGCTTCTGGGTTTATTTGATTCTTGCTGAATGATTTTCAGACATAGAGAACTATAATATCTTTCAGTGAAAAACTGGTACGAGTGAGTTCTGCTTTGCTCAAAGATTACCAGAGAGATTTACTCACTTCTGAATTCTACCCCCGCAGCTATTGATCACATGTTCAGTAGTTCAGCCTGCCAACCACGCTTTTCTTGCTTGGTTAACCTTCAGTCCAATCTGTAGCTTTCTTGTAGAATCAGCAAATACTCTGTGCTTTTCCAAATACTCCCTGATGTTTACTCTTTCTCACCCTGCCCCGGGGTTGTACATTGCATAGCTGGCATAAAGGTTTCTAGTAAACTCACAGCATGATGACTTTGCGTTATACTTCACACCTTCATGTAGTAGATGTCTAGATGACACATGGCAGAGGTTGCTAATGTGTCTGAGGCTCATGCATGTTTTAAACAAAGGTTTTGAAGGACCTCTGCTGCTCCAGCTTCATGCATAAAACATATTTCTTGGTTTTTGTGGAAAATCAGTTGGCTGTGCATGTACACACACTGAGGAGAGGGAAAAGAACAACATAATATTTGAAACAATCTTTGAGCATTACTTATTCATTTGTATTTTGAATGCCGCCTTAAAGGAATGAGTATACACAGGTGACACTGATCTGGGTATTTTCTTAGCATATTTGTTTTGAACACAGCTATGATTCACAGCTTCCCTGAGAGTTTGGGAGATTAATTTAATTAACTAGATTGATTACTTCAGTTTATGTTGCGAGGGCGGTTTTATTTATCCTTCAGTAAGTCTCGTTGAGCGTCTCCCTGGAGACAAATATTTCACTCGTTCTGGATGAAATATATTTATGCAGTAGTTTTTGTGCAGTATAAATAATTTCATTACAATTTCAATGGAGCCTGCATGTTCTTTTCATTTCATTACCACTCGATGCTGTGCCTTATCAGTAAGGGAAAGGATTTGAAACCACTGTCTTACACAAGGCAAGAAGTCTAGAATATTCATGTAGCTTCTTGAATCATTCATGTTCCGTGTTTGCGATCATGTATGATGAGTTAGCAAAGGTGTTTTTATGAGTGTGTGGATTTGTATACAGGAGGCCTATAGACCACACTAAAAATGCTCGTCTGGACGCACAGACAGAGTGCAGTTTAAGTGTCTCTGTGTGAGACGCCTGTCAGATTGCATAATGTGCTTGTTATTCAAAAAGTCAACTCGTTGTGGACAGCACTCTGTCTCATGTTCAGAACGACTGCATCATTTATATTCTGTATCCTCTCTTCCTAGTCTACTACAACTCTTAGTATAAGCCTACAGAAAGCAAGAAAGTAGCATTTTAAGGTGTGCTGATTTATTGGTATTTGGGTTCACAGTAACTCAGGATAAAGGAAGAATTTGACATTTGAAATGTACTTAATTATTTGACATCTTTCAATAATATCAACGATATGTTTTAAAAAAGTTGGCAGACTTAACACCATCTACAGGAGTTGTATTTCTCTTTTCCAAAATACACAGATGGGAAGTGACTGAACTGCAATTCATTCTCAAACATTCCCACAGGACTTTTTTCCTAATTAAAGCAGCTGATATACATATATCTTTTGGGGTTGATATTTTTAAGTTGCTAAACATGTGTGATATATATGGTGGAGTTGCACCATATTGCCCTTCATCCTGACTTGGTAAACAGGCCCGTATGACTCAGTCTCAGGGGGATGAATTTGTTTAGTGCAGAACGAGTGGAGAAGTGACAGTCCTCTTCCCGAGAGGTTAAGTGCATCCTGACCTTTTGGTTTCCCTGCTCCAGACAGCCTAACATTTTCTGAAGTGGTCCCCCAGCCAGGCTGACACCAAGTGATACTACTTTTGGCTCCCCTTTTGTGCAGTTATTTGGCATTTTAGTCTTTATTTGATTTGAGTTCACAGAGGAGAAAGAGACATGAAGCCTGATTTAAACCCAAGATGAACCATTTGCTTGACGTTTGCTTAATCAACTCAGCTGTAAAGATGATTCTATTGTGTCTTTTGCAGATATTCCTTTTTTGTTTGTTCTGAATGTGCTAGCTAGTTAAGACACCTTTGCACGCCTCAGTTCCCGAAGGCATTGATCAATAGCTGATGGGCTAATTGTGGTATCTTTTAATGATGTATCCTGAATAATTACATTTTCTTTGTTTAACACTATTAAATGTGACCAGCCTTTAAATTAAAAGAGAACATTCGTTTGGTAACACTGCAAGGGTAATGTGACCTCTTTTCACAGAGCTTGATATATTCACGGTGTAATTAAATTGGTTACATTAGCCGTTAGCTTCCATGTCTATGGATTATTTATTTAAAGCTGTCGCTGGTATGCTAAGGAAAAGTATGAATGTCTTTGCCCTTTCTTTTTTCTGTGGAACTTCTTAGCCGTGCGCAACTGAGTGACAACTCTGACCGAAGGCGGATGTATTTCACATTGCAAACTATTACAATGAATCCTAAAAATTATGTTATGTGACATATATTTCACATCCATTTTCACCCAATGTTGAGATAAGTTTCTGTACTTCATTGATGAAAATAAAACTTACGACATGTATACTACCATCTGTATATCTAATAACAAATATATATATATATATATATATATCTATATCTATATCTATATATATCTATATCTATCTATATATATATGTGTAAATACTATGTAAAAAATATAATGTTATGCTAGGAAAATCAACCAATACTTTTGACATCTAAAATGTCATCTATAACATATGTAATGCTCTATACTGTTCAATATACTGGGCCAGTGATTCAACTGCAGCCATGGTTGAAAAAGTATACAAACAAATTGCACATTAATAATTCATTTATTTTATAATTTAATAATCAGACTGAATTGAGTCTAATGCAGCATTGACCACATCTCCACTGGTTCATTCAGCCAGTCATTTCCAGACCAGTGGGAGACACTGAGAGCAATGGTCGTGGTATCACAGAGATGTATGGTGTGTGTATGCATGTGTATATAGATGTATAGTGTACAGCTGGCACTCTGAGAGCCAGACATGAAGAATTGATGGCAGAAACCATTAGGTCACTCTGTGCTCTGCTCTGGACGTGGTAAAGGTGGACTCTGAAGTGCATCAGTGGGCTGAGTCAATTTAAGTGACTCAGACTAAACTAAATCTCTTGTCCAAACTGAGAAAACATGTTATAGTTCTTTAAGTGACTTTATTCTTTCTGTGGGATTGATCAAATAAACTTTTAATACATTCCTTGGCTCATATGAGCGGCACATCGCCAGCCCCTTGAACTCCTGGCACGCAAAAACATGCAAAGGTTATCCAACTTGCTCTGTTTAACGCCTGATTTCTCTCCTTTTTTCTATATTTCTGAGTCTCGACTTTAATATTTAAAGTGTACCTTATAGATAATCAGGGATGTAAATAAGATATTTGCGACAAATGAATGATTAAATTGACCTGCAGCACATTTTAGTAGCATTCCAGTCACATATTTTTCAGCTCTCTTGTTACTCCTACTCTCAGGCGTAATTTATGATTTAAGGTTAGGGAGTTGTCTTTCTGTTAAGTTTCTGTCCTTATTTCCATTCCACTCACATTCACTTTTTTTTTAACACTGTCTCTGTAGTACTTATTTCTGATTGCAATTCCCTGTGCCTGTCACACATACAAAATGAACCATGGCTTTCATGTGACCTCAACATGTTATGGGAAATCTGTCCTGTGTGTGACCCACCATAAAAACCCAGACACTACATTTCTCATCTCGTCTGACATTTATTGTAAAAATAGCTTTGAATTTACACCCCTCCTGTCCTTTCTGTCACTTGGAATAAATGTTGCAAAAAGGTAATTTGACTTGTATTTTGCATTAAAGTGGCTGTCAGCAGTACATCTGATGGATTCAGCAACATGTTAAGCAGTCAATTATTCAGTTACTTTTCTGCTGCCTAGGCCTGAGAAAGAAAAGCCATCATGGTTTCTGGGGTGTTACATTTGTCTCTAACAAGGGAAACTCATATTTTGAATAGAGCCATTTAATATACAATAACTGAAATAATGTTTTAAAGTAAAAAAAAACATAATCTTTTTGTTAGAATTATTCTCTGGATTATTTAAACAAACGTTATCATTTCTCACAACTGTGTTTGGCATGTACATTTCATTTTAAGTGTGCATTTCTTTGTTTGCCATAAACGTGCGCACTAACTAAGCAGTGTGTTATTCATTAGCCAATCGGTGGCATTGATCAGTTTTTCATATGGAAGTAAGTAGAAGAGTCGCTAGGAAAACTGCTATTCGTATGATTTTATCCTGAAAACACTTCTGCAGAGGTTATACCATCTGCCGCTTTTACTGAACTGTAACACAGGTATTAACATTGAATAAACCAAACACATAAAATCGCAAAAATAGAGTCCAATGTTGCCTTCAGAAGCCGCCACTCTGATCCCTGTCCTCATAGCAGAGCACATCATTTCATAATGTTTTTGAATGGGTTTATTTGTTGCTATGGCATTGGCTGTTACTTAAAATTCAGAAGCAGAGTGGAAATGCTGTTTCCATTTCTGTCTCTGTAACGACGAGACAAGCCTCACTTGTAAAAGTATAAATGTCAGACACTTGACAAGCCTCCCTTCTTCAAACACGCATATATTACAGTAAAGTAACTACCTGTACACATACAGTACACACACACACCCACCCACACACACACATACATACACACACCACTTTCAAATATAATTGCATACTGAACATGGCAACATATACTGAATCTCTGGAGTTTTGCAGTCTTTTCTAAGTGCTTTACTGTACCACAGAGACATTTCATGGGAGCAGCAGCACACAGAATGACACAGAGATTAAGACAACATATATTTCATGGCTTTTCATTTCCGCTGGATTAAATCCAGTCCTTCTGAGTTCCCTCATCCCACCAATCCTTGTTTTTGATCTCTGCCTTTGTCAAAGAAAATAACACAAGTGTCCCATTGACATTTAAATGGCCTTGAAATCCTCTTTCTTTGTCTTTGAAGAAGAGTTCCAACATTCTTCGGGATCAAGATTTCCTTTTTTTTTGGCATGCATGATTAAGCCTATATGGATGATATGCTTTAGGTCTCTAAAGAGCTATGGCACAGAGCTGTTTGATATATAAAAAAAAACAAGATGGGACATTTACGTGTACACAGTACTTCTATTATAATTATTATGTTGTTTGCTTTTTCTCTTTTACACTCTTTAAAAGTTTGAATCAGTTTCTTTCAGTGGAAGCGTCTGCATTTCATGAGTTTCTGGAAAGCTTGTTTGAATTCATCGTTGAATACGGTGTAGATAACAGGATTGATGAGGGAGTTCAGGTATCCCAGCCAGGTAAATACATCAAAGAGCACTGGATCAAACCAGCACTCTTTACATATGGCCGTGACGAGTGTGCCCACAAAGAACGGGAGCCAACAAACAATGAAAGCGCCCAGGATGATGCCCAGTGTCTTGGTCGCTTTCCTCTCCCGAGCCGCACACAGGCGTTTCCTCTCCAGCACGCTGTCTGCCAGCTTCACTTTCACGCTGTTCATGAACAGAGGTGATCCTCCCCCACCTCCCACATTGCCAGAGTGTAGGTGGGCTTCCTGGTTGGAGGAAGAATTTAGAGAACAGAGAGAGGAGCCTGCAGAGGTCTGGATGAGCTGTGCTGTGGTGAAACGCTTCCCAGAAGACGACGGCGTTTTAAAGATGCGGGAACGGGCGGCTACATAGATCCGTCCGTAGAGGATGATGAGAAGCACCGTGGGGACGTAGAAGGCGCCGAAGGTGGAGTATAGGGTGTAAGAGATCTGATCTGTATTCACCAAGCACTCTGTGAGCTCCTCGTGGGCTTTGGACTGCCGCCAGAAAAGTGGAGGCATGGAAATAGATATGGAGATCACCCACACTACCCCGACCATGACCGCTGCCCGGCGCATGGTGCGGCGTTTTGTGTACTCCAGTGCGTCTGTGATGGCCCAGTAGCGGTCCAATGCAATCACACACAGGTGCAAGATGGAGGCCGTGCAGAAGGTGATGTCAGACGACAGCCAGATGTCACAAACAATCTGCCCCAGCGACCACGTCTTGCTCACAGTGTAGACGATGCTGATCGGCATTACTAAAATAGACACCAGCAGGTCTGTGACGGCCAGGGAGCCGATCAGGAAGTTGGCAGGTGTGTGGAGCTTCCTGGTCAGATAGATGGTGGCGATGACGAAGGCGTTTGAAAGCACGGTAGCCAAGGTGACGAGGGCTAATACGGCAGAGAGGGAGATCTGGAAACCGAGAATTGTTGCCTCACTCCAGGGTGGAGCTGTAATGGTGTCAGGGTTTTCTGTGGAGTTGCTGGTAAAGTAGTCCAGTGAGCTGTTATCCAGCTCCATCTCGCCTCCGCTTCTTTTAAACCCTCTTTTTTTCCAAGGTTTTAAACCAGCCTAATTACATCAGTTCAGGCATGGCGCTTAAAAGTACAGTGGCGTGGCATTTTTGGTTTGGGCTGAAGAAAAATGCTTAAGCTTGTCTTTTATGCGTCTTATTTCACATTGCAATATCCCTCGTATTGCTATTTTATATCAACCATATGACAATCATCTAGTTCCATTCACAACTAATGCTTCCGTAGTTTAAGCCGGCTAATATGTCCATTTAGTCTCTCTCATATTGATTCGCCTCACTGGTGTAGCTGCTGGAGAGAGGAATCCTAATTTGTATTCAGCTCCTGTCAGGCTGGCACTCCTTTTCTCTCTTCCCAACGCTCTTATCTCATCTCCAGCTAGTAGCCAGCCAGCAACAACACCTTCAGACCAAACCTTCCTATCTATCAAATGCTTTAATAGACTCCTCCTTTTCAATAACGCTATGCTGGGAGCTGCATGTAGGAAGATGATGACGAAAGATACACTAGGCTTGCTTGTTGTCTCTCTTCTTATCTGTTCCCTGTCCACGTGAAGCCTTCCAAATTGAGATTTGTGCTGAAACTTGGCTAGTGTCTTGGATGATATTAGAAAGCCAGAACATTACAGTTACATGATGCAGAGGAGGACAAACATCCAGGAATCCTTTGGTTGATTTTTAATCATCTCGTAGCTTTTGGTCGTTGTATAGAAGCCGATCAGCAAAGCCTTTTTTTCCAGGTACTGGGTGTGTGAAAGCTTTCCCTCTTCACTTTCAGAAAGCCTTTCAGAAGCAGCGTCCATACAGCGAGGAAGGATTTGTCATGGAGCTTTTCTCTGCAGCACGTTCATCCTATAGGTGAGATAAATAAGAGAAGAGCAAAATAGAAAAGAGAAGATTAGTTCTATTGAGCTTTACCATCATCCCCTCCCCCGTGCTGGATACAGGCATCCACAAACTATCCTACTACATACAACATGGGACACATAAGGGGAAATAAAGGAACATGAACAATGGAAACTCAACAGCGACCTGTAAACAGAGCATTATGACTTGATACAGGGACTTAACACCCACTCACTTCCAGCTGTTTTGTAGATTTATCACATTACACCAAAGTTACACAGTCTATACTAAAATGATTATTTGAGATTGTTGCCAGAACGACTACTTTCCCTAATTGACAGTTCCCAGAAAAATGAAAAGCATGTTGGTTGACTAGTTCATCATTTCTTCTCTGCTCCATCTCTGTCCGACTTCCTCTGGATTTAATTTGGATGGACTGGAAATAAATATGTAAGAACAAAAATTGAATATTTTTTGTTGAAAGCACACAAATCTCATTAACCAAGAAAACCGTCTTTCTCATTTGGATGAACTTTTGGACTTGTGATTGATAAACTCGACTTCCTTCACATTTACTGTTAATGATGCTCAGGAAATACAAAGACGCTGACCATATTGCCTCCAGGTAACAGAAGCTGACTTACTTTCAAGTTATAATGAAAGAGATAAGAGCTGAAATGTGGAAATGGGGTATGGTGTCCCAGTGGGCATAAGGACTGTTAATCACAGTAGAAGGCATTCCCTTTCCTCCAGCTTTCCATATGTTCGGTTTGCTTTAATGTATTATTGAAGAGCAGCAGAATGGATAATAACCACTTGTAATTCAGAGGAAGAGTAAAAAAAAAAAAAAACGTAATTCAATTACACTACTATAGGATAAGTTTTGTAACCCCATGTCGCTGTAGTCACTGTAATCTGTAAAATAGGAATAGATTAGGGAGTGTAATGTGATTATTGGAATACGATTTGTATGAGTGTTCATAGGACTGCCTTTTGTTTCACATCCACAGAGTAATGTTGAGGAACAAAGCTCTGCCACAAACATAAACAAATGTTTGCTTTTACACAGTCAACACATCCTTCTGTTGGCACATTACGAGTGTGACAACTGATTTCCGAGTGCATGCTTGTTCCCGATACAACTCTGCAAATCACCTGCATTAATAAAGTGTTGATAGGCAGCCTTCCCTTGTGGGGGATTATCGTGCTTCGTGACAATAAATATGCTTAGTAAATAATAGAGAATAAATGAGAAATCAGTTTAGCGCATTCTATTACTGGCTCTCAGGTGAGCATTCAAATGATTACAAACTGCAGTACACGTACAAAGAAACGGGCACAGAATACTGATGGTACGCATCCAGGCGAAAATGTGCAGCGTACTGGAACATCCACACAAACAGTGGTCTAACTTATAACTGCGATATAAAGTTAACTAATGCTGCACAACAGGCATGGCACTTTATCATTTCATTTTAATGGCTTTACCATCACAGTGTCAGTAAACCAGTGCTGCTTCCTAAACTATATGCATTGGTCCTACTCTGCTCTGTAAAAGTAAAGTATAGGTTGAATGCCTTCTTCCCTCGTTCACAACCATTTTAAAGCAAAGGAATATGTTCTGTCAAGCTCAAACTATGGAGGAGCAGTGGTTTTTAGAGTTATTTATTTGCATTGTAAGGCAAGTTTATTTATATAGCACTTTTCAACACAAGGCAATTCAAAGTGCTTTACAAAAATGAAAGACATTAAGAAAATGGCATTAGAAAACAGTCATTAAAAAGCAAAGATAATAAAATAAACATTAAAAGAAAAAATACATGAATAAAAGTTACAGTGCTGTGTAAGATATGAATAGTTCAATTAAAAGCAGCGGCAAAAAGAAAAGTCTTTAGTCTGGATTTAAAAGTAGTCAGAGTTGCAGCGGACCTGCAGGTTTCTGGGAGTTTGTTCCAGATATTTGGAGCATAATAACTGAACGCTGCTTTACCATGTTTAGTTCTGACTCTGGGGACAGAAAGCTGACCAGTCCCTGAAGACCTGAGAGATCTGGATGGTTCATAATTTAGCAGGAGGTCAGAAATGCATTTTGGTCCTAAACCATTCAATGCTTTATAAATCAGCAGCAATATTTTGAAATCAAGTCTTTGACACACAGGAAGCCAGTGTAAAGACTTCCGAACAGGAAGTGATGTTATCCACTTTCTTAGTGTTAGTGAGGAACCAGTGTAAAGACTTCAGAACAGGAAGTGATGTTATCCACTTTCTTAGTGTTAGTGAGGACTCGAGCAGCGGTGTTCTGAATTAGCTGAAGCTTTCTAATAGATTTTTTAGTGAGACCTGTGAAGACACCATTACAGTCGAGTCTACTGAAGATAAAAGCATGGACAAGTTTTGTATAGAAATATTAATTGAAAATATTGAAGACAAAGCTCTGGTTTGTAGCTATTTATAGCTGCCTAGACTACAACTCAACAGTTAATCCATTTACATTGTTATCACTGAGCCATTTGTGTTTAGCAGTCCAATATCAGAATTAGAACTAAGTTGTCCAATCATAAGTGAAAGTGTGACGGGTACATGCAAGAGTTTGGCATGATTTGCTAATGCTAATTTGAGAGCAAAAATTAGGCTTTTTCTTTGAAACCATGGACTATTAATTGTTGTAGAGTCTTGTCAAATAAACCCATCAATTCATACAACAGTATCTAATAGGCCAAAAGGTATTTTTTTAAAGTGATGTTCTTTCCCATCTACTGTCTGGGGACTACTCAAGCAGTAGAGGCAAAGATAGACCTTAGTATGAGTCACACAAACAGAAAATAGATACATAATTCCTCATAATGCAACTGAATTGCTTATATAATTGAACCTCCACGCTTGATTAATGCCTCCAATGTTCAGAAGTCTTAAGCCAAAATGTAGACAACCATGGTAATATCACTCTGATGAAGAAAGCTCCCTACAGAACCGCAGAAGACATTGAGTGTCACATTAAAACATTTCTCAGATCTCAACAAGAAACCTCAACGTGCAGATGTGTTAGAGATAACTGTCACTGACAGCGGGTGAAGATTACCCAGGCGTGACTAGCTTACAATCACGCCTCATCGCATCAGTGGAGAGGAGATTGATATATTGATATTGACACACTCCACACGGTGAGCTTAGTAAGAAGATCGTCGTGGGCAGCATTGACTTATTCATTCGGTTGTCTATGTAATATGACACACACACACACACACAGTATCATGTTTGATAGATGACTGGAAAGCTTATCTGTTTACACATCAAACAAGTCAAGGACAAGGCTTATCTCCTCTGGGTCTGGTTTACAGCACAATGAGGTAATGAGGTTCATAATGAATGGATGAGAGGAAAAAGATTTTCAATCAAGAGCAGGCCCTGCCTAAATTGGGCTGTATAATGTTTATGTGAAATATGTTGGCTTCTACATCTGGCTTTGAAATTGCAGATCTAATTCAGGGAGGCATCTCTCAGCCCAATTAAAGGAGACGTGCATTTATCTTCGTTTAAACAAGGGAAAAAGTTGGAACCACAAAGCATGATCACAATTATATAAAACACAAACATCTGATTGTTCTTGTGAGTCTTTCGAAGAGCATGACTGGAGAAGAAACACAGTGACGCAGCCCTGCCGAGTTAGCCTGCGTCACAAACCGTTCACTATATCCAATTCCTTCCTCTCAGGCTTGGGCCAAATCCAAGCAGATGCTGCAGTGTGTGTGCAGTGTTTTTATGTCGGGGTGAAACAGTAATACCCTCTGAACCCAGCCGGCCTGCAAACACTGCACGGCCCCACTGGAGATAGACTAATTGATTGAGCCCAGAGAAGGAGACATTGCCTCCTCTGCTCTCATGCAGCTAATATGGTGTTCACTCAAGCGTGCTGTAAATGGGTGTGGTTGTGTTTGTGTGTGTGTGAGGGGAATTTTACTTCAACATAAAGGGATGCTGGGGATTCATAATGGGGTAAATTAAAGAGGGCTTAGATAGCAGGAGTCATGGGAATAGACAATTGCAGCTTCATTTTGTAACCAGATGATAGGGGGTCAGCCAGGGGGTCATTTCCAATATTGAGTGCTTTGCCGACTTTCATTTCCCTCGTATTTTTTGCCTTTCACTGTTCAAACAATCTCAATCTTCTTGGTCGTCTTTGTTGGGGCTGTAGGCAGCCTGAAAAGTTTCAGTTTAAGTTTAGTTTTTCTGGATAATAAAATGTTTAATTAATGAATTCATAGTAATATTCTCCAAAATAAACGCTTGAATTGATTAAACATCAGTGAACTCTTTGTAGAAGTGTCATCAACGCATTTACTGTATGGATTCAGAGAAATGCAGACATTTCATAAATACTTCATTGTACACACACACACACACACACACACACACACTTTTTTCCATCCTATAGACAAGCTTGCTCTGCCAGGGTTGTTGGCTCACTTTGCTGATCATTACAGTCAGTATGCAGTCCATGATGCTGTTGTTCAACACAATGGAGTATTCATGGCACCATGCAGATACTGAATTATAGATAGCTGGGCGGCATCATGTGAAGGAAAGTGAAACTATAAAATATAGATTACTAGGAATGTAGGAACAGTCAACTCAGAAGTGATCTCTGTCAAAGTGCTGCCCAAAGGTTAAAGTGCAAACCATGAAAACAGACAGCGGAGAGATGGAAACCTCGTCAATATATACAATAAAACAGCAATTCCAGTACGCTATGCAGATTAATAGAGACACATTTCATGAATGGCTGTCATTTATACAGTGACATGTTGGCATGTCACGCTGCATTTCAGTAAATAGCAATGAAATCCAATTATGTCTCAAAGGCTCAATGATTTATCTTATCTCTGTTGTTTGCAGCTGCCTGGAGTGTTTTTTTCAGCCTGTGTGGGATGCACATGGCACAAGCATGCACATGTTTCACACATACTGTACATGCACTATTTGCACCACAATCCACCTGCACACATAAT